ATGCCAGAGGGACTGGGGAGCACTCAACTCACTCCTCGTGCTGTCCTTCCTCCTAGCTGTTCTGATTTGGGCGGAACACAGGGCAAAGAACGACTACGTTCTAAGGAATGGGGGGCAGCTTTGCACGTGGCTCAAGCATCATGTCATGCCTATATAAAGCCTTTTGGCCCTTTGCACACTAGGTGGATCTGCTCGACACCATAGGGCCATTTCACCACTTGGTTTCATGGCAGAGACATTTGCTTCCTCTACAACCTGTGCGAACAAGAGAAAGTACCCACTCCTCAGTCACCCACAGAGCCACCAAAGATTCTATGTCCCAGAGCTTCCTGTAGCAGACCTGAAAAGTCTCTGGCCTGAGCTTTGGCCATGGTAGTAGAGTGGAATAGGAAATAGCCAGCAGGGCAGGGGCTAGGAGAGGCACAGGAGTAAGGGAGACTTGGATGCTGCCTTTTTTGGGAAAGGAGCCAAGCTTATACCATCTTGGCTGATACTGCAATCACATTTTTCAGGGTTAAGGTTCTTTTGTTATACTATCATCATTGTGATGCTATGGTAGAAAGTAAACAATGGTACTGGCTCAGTTGTGTCATCTTACCTTTCTATAACATAATTTATTTGAAAATTTAAATCAAGAAAAAAATATGAGCTAGGCTGAAGGTATAATGTGTAAGAATCATTAGGGGAGCTTGTCCTGAGCCCACTGTTGTCTGCTGGAGTGCTCTCTGTCTTCCACAGCTGTACTTCAGAAGTGATTTCCTCTGTCTCCCTGGGCTCCTCGGCACATCTGCTCTCCCAGTTCTGGGACTTTCTACCAGCACTCTCCTTTGCACTTGGTGGTTTGGGAGCTGAAAATGTGTTTTAAACTGTAATGTAAACATCTCAACTTGTTGCCTCTCATAACCCTCTATCACTGTGGCTTTTTAAAATTATGTAATTTTGGCTTAAGTAAAAAAACAAAACAAAACCCCTTCAACCTACCTAGGTATTCTCCTTGCCCCATGAAAGAGCTATTTCCCCCCTTTCTTTCCTACCTGATTCTTCCCCAGCATTCTACCTTCATCCATACTGCTCTGTAATATACTTCAAGCTATGTTTATTGGACAGAAGTTCATCAGCTAACTTACCTTGAATTGGTAAGATGGTAAAATTAGTGATTCGGTGGTGTCACATAAGTCTTAATCACATGACATATTGGAGAAAGAGAAATGTTTTCCTTTGTGGGAAATCATGCCTGACTTGCATATTCTAGTTTTTTGAGGATAAAAAGAAACATACATCCAAGAAAGAACAAGATACAATTTTCTCAGACTGGTAAAGAACTTTTGTCAAGGTCTTCTCTAAAGCAACTTTAAAAACAACAGTTACTATGAGATACAGGAATATTTTGTCATGCTTAGGAAACAACTTAGAGACTTAAGAATAAACATCTTTCTGGAGATAATGCTAACAGAGGAACAGAGGAAGTTTCCTGTGAGTTGATGCTTAGTTTAACCTTAAGGTTTTTATAAATTACCTGAAAGTAGGATATTATAATGCAGTCAGTAAAGATAAACCAGAAGGGATTAAACAAAACCAAACCACAGAAGGCCCACAAGCCAAACTGTGACAACACAGGAAAAGGATAGGTAAGGTTCAGTCTAGGGAAGTATAAAGTAATAGAAGAATCAGCAAGGCAGCAAGCTGTTAGAACTCAGCACAGTAACCTAACCATTGCTGAGAAGGTGGGGTCAATGTGCTGCTCTGGCTCAAAGCCCAAATGAGTTATCAGGAAGGGCTCACAGAGACAACACAAAAAATAGGGCTTCATAGAAAACCATTTCAATGGCTTAAATTATCTGTGCACTGATAGTGACCTTATTTACAAAATATGTGGTAAAGGGAGGAAAGGTCCAGAGAATAGCAAAAATTATAAGGGGGTGGAGATACTTCCACACGAGGACACGTGTAGAATGTTGGCTCGGACTCTGGAAAGATAAAAGTTGAGGGTAGTGTGAAATCAGATATCCAGCTGAGAGGAAGGACATGTTCACCAAGTCCTGATATACTAGCTTTGGGGCTTAGCCTCATGGCCTTAGGTACAAGAAAGCACTTCTCATAGTAAATCAGAAACTTAAGTTGCTCATTGTTCAGCAAGTGATGCTGGCAGAGCTATATATGAGTGGCGGAGGTTTTAGAGGAATCCTTGTATGGTGGCCTTCCAAAGGAATCATGGAAAACTAGTGATATTTGATACACCGCAACTGAGAGGGTAACTGTGTTCCTCTATGCACTCCCCCTTAATGCTCCTTTGGAGGCATAATTTTGAACAAAATGATCACTGGTCCTCTCAGGTACGGCCTTTCTAATGTTCTTAGAGGAGGCCTTGAGGAGGGAGATCAGTGGCCGGAAAATAGAATCATTCAAACTTAGACTCACCTGAATTGGTTTTTTTTATTTTATTAAAAAAGATTTTATTTACTTATTCATGAGACACACACACACGAGAGAGAGAGAGAGAGAGAGCGAGAGCGAGAGGCAGGCTCCATGCAGGGAGCCCATCATGGGACTCAATCCGAGGTCTCCAGGATCACACCCTGGGTGGAAGGCAGGCACTAAACTGCTGAGCCACCTGGGCTGCCCCCTGAATTGGTTTAAAATCACATTCTGATTCTCTTTCCCTTCCCTCCCCCCACCCCACCTCCCCAGTGTCCCTCTGGTCCCTCTCGTATCCCTCCATGCAAAGAAAATGCCTAATGGGCATTGCTTGATATATCTTCACTTTAAGCCTGTGCTTGCTGATAGGCAATACAAGCAAATCTGGCAAACATCCAGGCTAAGCCCTTCAGTGGCCAGAGTTCAGTCAGGTTTCCAGGTTCTCTGGATTTCTTGTCCATATGACAGATGGAGCTCTAGAATTTCTGACTTTCCTATGTGGCATCCTTGGCCCTGTGTCTTGAAATCCTCCTGCAGGAAATGGTAGGGGTCATTGTCTCAGTGCATTTTATTAACAATTATCTTGTATAACTTCATACTCCTGTTTGTTGGGGGAAATACGCATAATGAAGAAATGTGATCTGGTTAGTCCTTAGGATAGATATAAGGTAAAGGAAAAAAAAAAAGAAAGGAAAATAGTAGTGCTTTGGACTGCTTATAATTTCTGTCTTGGAGCTTTAAGACTCTGAACAAGAAATAACAATACCTCAAGAAAATGTCTGGAGTGATAGCACCACTATCTCTCAAAGACCTCAGCTGCTGCACATCACCATTTCAGCTGTGAAGTATTTACAACTATATATCATCTATGATTGTCAAGATTTCCTGTTTACATGGGTGTATTGGAGATAGGTGTTAGTACATATGGACTAATTTAAATATCCCTTAGCTGAGCTGCAGGGTGGTTATTGATCTCAAATTTGTTTTCAACTCACTGGAATAATTAACCTCATTTCTTTGACTTAAGTCCAAAGGAATGGGTTCTATTCTTGTGATGGCTGCTTTTGCTGTTTTATGTAACCTGACCCTCATTTTGCCATGGGCCTCAAATTCTATGTACCCTTTTCGTGGTTCTGAAAGGAATGTTTTTTGTGTACAGAATATATATAAGGGATAAACACTGCTCCTCAACATACCCCATAATTTAAATGCTTCCATTTAGCTCATTTACATTAGTTCTCCTTTAGCCCAGTTCACTGGGGCAGTGGAAGGCAGGTAGTTTGAAGTATTACCATAGTGATACAGGAATTTGCCATTCTAAACCTTTACACTAAAGGTCTGTTTTTTATAATTTAATACTCACCTATACTTCTAAAATCATTTTTAGTAATGTGACAACACTGTGGAAACAAATGAACATTGCTGAAGTGCTAATAGACATTTGGTTATTTGTGAACTGCAAAAGCTGTCATTACCTTGCGATTTACCATAGTCATTGCTGTTTCAAGAGAAGCTGGTGTGCTGAAACATCCTTTAGCGGACTACAGCCCTCACCTCGATCTTCCCCCACCTTCTACTAGAGTAGGAATATTCCCATTCTCTGGATAGGTATGGATGGTAGCTCTTGTTGAGTGGGGATTATTTTCCCTATCTTACAACAGACATAAGGAGAAACACTCTAGGAGAATCTTATTGTTAGGTGGCTAGACTTGAGATGTGACCTTTCTCCCTTATTACTTTTAAATGTCAGCCTCATCCAGTATCTCAAATTGCAATAGATACAGTTCTTATAATCATTAAAAAAATAAATAAATAAAAATTCCTGTTAGAGCTGAGAGACTATCTGCCTTTCCCCTCTCCAGTTTATTAGTTTTCAATCAAGATTTAACCTGAGTCTTACAGCATTTCTTTGTGGAATGCCCCACTGAAATGTCTTCTTCACTGGCTACATGTATGTTTAAAGACGGGTTTTAATGTAAGATACTAAAAGTCAGATTTGCTCAACTTTGTGAGTCCAAGCTGTTTCCCCTCCATCAGGGTGCTGAACAGATTGACATCTTTTAAGATGTGCTCAGGAAAGCATCAAAAGAGAACAGCTTCAAAACTCTTCTTCCTATAACACTGAATGACAGAGGAAAGAATTCTTGGGGATTGCCAATTATATACAGTAAGTAGCCTTATTACTGCTAATCACTGTCAATAAAAGGTCACTCCATTCCCCTCTATTTGAGGAAACCAATGAGAATGTATCTAATGAACTGGAATACTGGTCAGTGTTGGGAAATTTTAATGTTGCATTATCCAATCAAACCTTGAGCGTACTGGTTCTGTGAACCACCTGAAAAAAGCAAATTAAACTTACTAAACGTTGGTTGTGGTATTTCTGTTTATAGGAACCTGAAATATATGGGCTTTTACATTATTTTTAAGGGTTTAAATACTCTTTAATCTTAATGATTCTAGTAGAAAATGGGAAGGGCTCAAATTTTCGAAAAAAGCCAAGACCAGTTTTATTCTGACACCAAAAAAGAATGATGAACTTCTCCCCATTCCAACCAACTAGATGTAAAATGAATACACATATAGCAAGTTGGAAAACATTTAATGATCACTCACCATAATCCATAGGAGAACTTTACACATTTACAAGGGCAAACTTTTCTGCTACTTCCATTATCACTGTGTTCTTCATGGTAAAATATCTCGTGTCAAAAGCTTCTGGTAGTTTCATTTACTTAAAACCAGATGGAGGAAACAACCTAAGTCATAGCAACTTCATGCTTCAGTGTGAAACTATCAAAGCTCTCTTAGAAAGGTTTTTCTCTCTGAAAGTAGTTTCCCTGTCTAGAAGATGCTTAAAGGCCCATGTACCTTCTTCCAACTAGTCAAACAGTTAAATGCCTCAAAAATACCCAAAGAGGTCCCAATATTTAGTCAAGCATGTATGAAACAGGCTGCATGCCTTTTAGATGTGATGAATATCAGAGTTCTGAGAAAGACATTAAAAATCATCATGGAATCCTTGGAGGACTGAGATACTAAAGCACCAGTGCAAAAGTCTCATGTAGTAGGAAGAAGTCCAGAACCAGTACTTCCTCCTTCAGTACCAGGCCTTTCTAGGCTTTGATCTAGAAAAAGATGATTTTTTTGTGCTTTGAGTTGGGGATCTGTCCCTTCGACTTTAACCTCCGAACAGCCTCCCTCATATGTTTGGGTTGTAGTGGTGGCATTTCTCCCCACTTCTCACACACATCCAGTGCTAAAAAAGAGGACAGGAAGAAAGCTTCATTGTCACACAAAGACTTCATATCACACAATCCATTTGAATCCTGTAATTCCCATTAACCCTTCTTAAGCTTGCTAAGGAAATAAACCAAGACATTTTCCCTTCTTAAGAGAATGCTATGAAACAGGTCATGTTAACTTTAGTATAATATATCATATCAGGCTTTATCATAGGCAACAGTTTAAAACATATCTTCTGCTTGAAAAAATAAAACATTCCTCTGACAAGATTAGCAATACATAGTAGCCAGGTTCTTTCCTGACGGACAGAGGGCAGTTCCCATGGGTCATAACACTGGGGACTATACCTCATCCACCACACTGGTGAGCCCCCGTGATTGCTTTTCTTATGTCTTTAATTTGGCATCAGAAATGAACAAAGTCCATTGGAGAAAAATAAGTTTGCTTCTGTCACCCTGGGCTGAGGACAAGAATCAAAGGAGATTTCCCAGATGCTTCCTTGTCTCTGAGTATTAAAACTTTTGAGGAATAATGGTCATGCCCTCCTGAATACAAGGTGCCCCACTTGGTTAACTCCTAGTGCAAATGGAAACTCCCACAAGTACTCTAATAGGTCCCTTAGTATAGATCTTGAAAATAAGACCACCAGAGTATCAATAATACTCACCTTCTTCTACCACTTCCCCGACAAAGACCTTGGAAATACCAGACATAGCAATAACGACATTCTGAGACACAGAGGTTCCAGTGATGGACTGGATCAGCTTGAAAGAAGGACAAAGACCATGAATTAAGATAGTCAAGAACTGGTTTTGGAATACAGTACCCTTAAGAGTTTTTCTCTAAAAAAGTGCTAAAGGCTGGATGCTGAAATTAAGACTATTAAAACAAGGATTTGGGTGTACAGTGACTTACTCTGTATGTAGAGACCGTATCCTTATAATATAAAACTCCCAATTCATAATTGAGGGGCATGTCACTTTTATTTTCCTGCATGAATGATCCACCCGTTTGACTAACACCTCACTCAAAATGCCAATGGACATAGCTCATGCATCTAGTTCAGCTCTCATATTTGATGGAAATGAAGTGTGGTAGTCCATTCTTACCCTTTTAATGGCTGCCTTAGGGAAAGCTGACCGGCGATACATTTCATAACGGTTCAGCTGCTCCTCCGAAAAAGAAGAAACCAGGATTCTAGACAAAGATTCAGGTAATTAAAGTGGCTTACAAGAATGAATGCTTAAGATATATTATTACATCAATAAAAGCAAGTTTCGGACAATTAGTGAATTTTCAAGGGGTCAATAGCATTAGGCTTGGTGCATACAAGGAATGAAGATAAAATATTTTTATTCTTAAGGAACTTGAGAAAAAGTGAAAATACAACTTCCTTTCTACTTCATTAAGCATAAAAACTTGAATAACAATGTTGGGTCACTATATAATATACTATCTAGATTGTATTTTCAGCACTGCTCTCTCTCCTCATAACTCTATACCTTTACTACACATTGATGGTAAACATTTGATACATAAATTTATATTCAAACCAGTAGTTTTCAACATTAATAGATTTGGGGGAAAATATTTGTAAAATATATGGAAAATGATTAATACTTTCAAATAAATAAAAAGATGGCTATATTAATTTAGAAAACGAGCAAAGGACATGAATAGGGAATTTGCAAAAATACCAATGGCCAATAGAGAAGAAAAATTAACCTTCATTATTAACTAAAGAAATTAAAATTGATAAAATAACATTTTCATGAATCAGACAAGTATTATAAAGCACAGTATTAATAAGAATGGGAGGATACAAAAACTCATACCTGCTGGTAGAGTGTGAAGTGAACAACCTTTCTGGAGAAGAATTTGGAAATGTGTATGAAGAGCCTTTGAAAATATTCATACCGTTTGAACTGGCAATTCACTTCTAGGAGTTTATTTAGGAAATAAATGGACAAGTATGTGAAGATGTGCTCAAAGATACTTGTCATAATGTTGTCAAAAGAAAAAAAAGGAACTATAGGGGTTATTTATCTGCATAATGGAATATAACGAAGCCACTGCAATTGAGGATTTATGGGCATATTTACTGACAAGAAAATATTTAGCTACACATATCAAACATTAAAAACAAATCTGAAAACAACAACAACAACCAAAACCCCCAAATCTGAAGAAGTATATAATCAAATATATATCCGGGGTTACTCTGGGTGGTGGGATTATAGGTAATTATTTTTTCCATTTTTCTGTATTCTCTGAATAATTTCCAACGAGCCCATACTACTTTTATAATCAGAAAACACAGTGAGGGGTGCCTGGCTGGCTCAGCCCAGTGGAGTGTGTGACTCTTGATCTAGGGCTTGTGGGTTTGAGCCCCATGTTGGGTGTAGAGATTACTTAAAAATAAAATCTTAAAAAGAAAACAACCCCAAAACACTACAATGAAGCTACTTCCAAGTAAAGAAAATTATGACCTAGATATATAATTACTGATATGGAAAACATTCACCATATATAATATGAAAAACAGGTTACAAATAGTAATATCTTTGAAAAAAATTCTAGATATGTATGTACAGAAAATATCTTGGAGACTATATACCAAAATATGAACAGTGTTTATCTCTGGTAATAAAGTGATTATCTTTCTTTTTACTTATATTTCCTAAAATGTAACATAGGATATTTGCTTTATTTTCTTTTGAATATAAAAAAGTAAAAAAAATTTAAAGGCCAAAGAAACTTATTAACTTTGTGTGGTCAAATTAGAGCCTTGGAATGGGGAAAAAAATCACGAAGTGACTTACTGCATCTTTTGAATCTCATCTTCATCCACTTTTTGCTTCTTCTCTTTCTTTTCTTTGGTATCTATTTTTATTTTTTTGGCTGCAGGAGTAAGCAAAGAGGAGTCTTCCCTTTCAACTGCTGTTAAATCTGAGATGTCCTGACTCTTGAGCTGAAAAGATGAAAGAAACCCTATTATATATATATTGAAGCCTACATTCCAGACTTGGGCAAGGTAAGAGTTCATTCACATTACAACACAACAAACCTATTATTCAGTAGTTTTTTGGTCCCAAGCCCTGGCTGTGCCATCATACGTAAGACACACTCTCTCTCCTAGAGAAGTTTATAGCTCAGCTGTGTAATCCAGTTTTCCAGTTTAGCTCTAGTATGTATTTACAAAAGAAACGATGTGCCAAACATCATGAAAACCACTCTGCCTCCTTGAGCCCACTTTCCTGATCTCATTCTTTAGAGGGGGTGTCAGAAAAGTCCTCTCCAACCAGCCAGCTCTTCTGCCTCTAAATCTATAGAACTCTTTATTGCTGATGATTCCATCTGGAAAGAACATTAAAAAGGAGGCACCTTCCCATCAAAACAGTGTTTCTTTGGATTTGGAAATTTTAATAATTTTTTTAAAAAGTAATTTCTACCCTCAGCTAGGGCTTGAACTCATGACCCTGAGATCAAGAGTCCAATGTTCTACCTATTGAGCCAGCCAGGCGCCCCTGGATTTGGAACTTAAAAGTGAGCTTCTCTAACACGTAGTGCTCTTCTCTTCCTATCTTTCATTCTATTGTATCATACTAATATTTATTTCCCATTGCTAGACTGAAAACTTTTTTTTTAAAAGATTTTATTTATTTATTTATCCATGAGAGACACAGAGAAAAGCAGAGACATAGGCAGAGGGAGGAGCAGGCTCCATGCAGGGAGCCCAATGTGGGACTCGATCCCGGGTCTCCAGGATCATGCCCTGAGCCAAAGGCAGATGTTTAACTGCTGAGCCATCCAGGCGTCCCCTAGACTGAAAAGTTCTTGAAGATAGATTTCTTATTAATCTCTCCCCACATAAGCATTTAACATAAATTTACTCGTACTAGATGTTTAATAGCAATTAAAATCCAAATTCATCCTCTCCATCTTAATGTAAGATCAAAAGACACAACAAACCTCATTAATGGGATTTAATCTGTTTTCCCTAAAGAGGAACTCACATAAACTCATACAGGAATATAAGGGGGCAGGTGAAAGTGAAGGTAGTATATCTTTAAAAAACTTTTCAATTTCTTCTCTAGTTATTTAATACACATTTTCTAACCTCTCTGTGCTTTAATTTTGGTGATTTATATCTTCCTTAAAAATGAGCCATTTTTCTTAGACATTAAAATTTGTTTGGCCTAAACTTGAACATCAGATATTTCTGGTTTGTTCTGTTCTTCTCGTTTCTTGAGTTGGGTGCTTATCTCCTGTTTGTTAACAAAAATATAGAAAGCTATGAATTTTTCTGTAAATAAGGTATTGGCCAAAGCCCATAGGATTTGATGTCATGTTCTCTTTGTTAATTTCTTTAAGGGCTATTTTAATTTTTTATTTATTTTTTAATATGTTATTTATTTATTTATGAGAGACACACAGAGAGAGAGGCAGAGGCACAGGCAGAGGGAGAAGCAGGCCCCCTGCAAGGAGCCTGATTCAGGACTCCATCTTGGATCCCAGGATTAGGACCTGAGCCGAAGACAGACGCTCAACTGCTGAGCTATCCAGGCAACCGAAGGGCTATTTTTAAAAAAAAATATTTTATTTATTTGAGAGAGACAGACAATGCATGAGCAGGGGGAGAGGGGCAGAGGAAGAATCAGACTCCCTGCTGAACAGGGAGTGGAGGTGGGGCTCAATCCCAGGATCCTGAGTTCATGACCTGAATCAAAGGCAGACCCTCACTGACTGAGCCACCCAGGCACCGCATCTAAGGGCTATTTAAAAAACAGTTTAAAATATTTAGGTGTGGGATCCCTGGGTGATGCAGCGGTTTAGCATCTGCCTTTGGCCCAGGGCGTGATCCTGTAGACCCGGGATCGAATCCCACATTGGGCTTCCTGCATGGAGCCTGCTTCTCCCTCTGCCTGTGTCTCTGCCTCTCTCTCTCTCTCTGTGACTATCATGAATAAACAAATAAAATCTTAAAAAAATAAAATAAACTAAAATATTCAGGTGCTAGTTTTTTTGGGGGAGTGGAGATGGGGAGAAGCTTTTTGTTTTAAGTTTTAGGATTATTGCAGGATGTGGCCTGTTTGATTTCTACTTCTAAGAATTTGTGTTTTTCTTTATGGTTTGGTATATGGTCAAGTTTTAAAAAGTATTTCAGGAATACAAAAAAAATCCTCTGTTGGGTGCAAATTTCTGTATGTAGTGAGCTATTTATGGAATTAAGTCAATTATTCAAATATTCTCTGTCCTTCAGATCTGTTTTCAAGGCTCTTTCTTGAAATAGCCTCAGCCCATTTTTCTTTTTCTAGAACTTCTTACTTTATATATCTTGATGCAACTTAATGCTCTGAAAGGCTGTTTCTGTTTAACAGGATGCCCTCCCTTATGACCTCTATAAATCCCTAAGAACCTCTAAGACCCCAAGATTTTATTTCTAGAAATGGAACGGAGAGAACGGAGATTCTGGTTCGCTGACTGATGCTCAGTTAGACAACACTGCTGGGCTCTTGGGGTGGCACAATGGATGGGTTTGGTGTTTTAATGCTATAGAGACCCTTGGACATTAGCACCCAGGTCAATGCAGTAGTTAAATGTTGGAAGGAGGTAAAAACGTGACTAACCCAGTAAGTCTCTCACAGTCTCCACTGAACGATTCTGCAGCGTGTAATGACAAAGTTATGCTTGAGCAACATCTAGGAGAAACCATATTTCGGTCAAAGGGGTTCTAGGAATCCTGGCTTCTAGCTCTTGCATTAAGTCTTAGTGTGACATCAGGTCCCAATTCTTCACCAGGAAAACCAAGAGGCTATGCCAAAGTCCCTGAGGGGCGCCTGGGTGGCTTCCTGAGGGAAGGAGGCGACTCTTGATCTCACCGTCGTGTTCAAGTCCCACCTTGGGGGTAGAGTTTACGTAAAAAAAAAAAAAAATCCCTTATAAGTAGCCTTGCCAGGTAAGGGCAAGGATTAAAAGTATTAAACCCAATGGCTAGGTCTCTGGAACCGAAGCAGCATTAAAGTTTTTTCTCTTCCCTCTCCCCGCCCACCTTTGCATATCTAGAGTTATGGTGAGTTAGGGTTTTATCTTAGCTTGGAGGGACCAACCAGGAAGGCGGTCGGGCGAGCACTAAAAATCTCGGAATACTCCTCCAGCCTCAACACTTCCCTCCCTACCTCGCCTTCTTCGGCCGTGGCTTCCTTCAAGTCCCCATCTCCGTCCACGTCAGTTTCCTCCGGGATTCCGTCAGTATCTGTAGGCCCGGGGACCCCGGGAGCAGGGGCCGTTTCATCTGACTCCCTTGCCTCTCCACCTTTTTCCGTGGGCGACTCGCAGGCATTATCCATAGCGGTAAGAAAAAGAGGGGAGAGATCGCCCTCCTGTCAGGTCCTGTTGGCTCACGCACGACCTACTGGAGCACAGCAGCCCCGAAGCTTACTTCCTGTCGTCGCTCTGTGATGACATCACTCCTACCGCTCCTCGGAGGGGACAGTTTGAAGCACGTTTAGAGTACTTCAGGACTCCCTTTTAACTCTGATTCGGTGACGGCTGGAGAGGGAAGACTGAGGTTACAGAATTCAGTTCGTGGAGTTTCCACACTGGGAAAGAAGAGTTGTGTTGCTTATTGAAGGAGTTTTTCTCTTTTTTCCCCTCCGTTCTGTTCTGCCTTTCCAAAAACGAAGTTAACTGCTTAATCCGCTTTTCTCAGAGTCAAGTTTGGGGACGGGAGAAAACTCAATTTCATCGTACGCGGGTGTGGTGGGATGCGGCTACCTGGTAAATTTATAGGCGGGGACACAGCTTCGTACATCTCAATTGGTTAGCGATCGTGGGCCTGTGTGAATCGCCAGCATTTCTCTTCGGTTCCTTATGCACCTTTAAAAAAAAAAAAAGTCATATAGCTCGAACAGAATTGATCCAACCCATTTACTCACGCCACAACTGTTGAGCGCCTACTTCGAGCTAGGGACAGTTCTAGTAGCAACAACACATAGTTTCTACCCGCATAAGTGATCTTTCAATTCATCGGTCCTAAAGATCGAGGTCGGTTTTACAAACCTGACTTCTTATGTCAGTTTGGTTAATCTCATCAAAAGGAGAGGAAACAGATTCTACTGGGAAGGGAGGTCTTGTCTTTGCATATTTCACTTTAACGAGCCATTTCAGAGATTGGGACCATCAAGAAGTGGAGGGATTTTTATTCAAATTTTTCCTCTCTCCCCTCACTGAGGTAAGAGTGGGGCATTTTATTCACCTCTGTATCACTAGGCCCCCACATACACCACATATTTAATTTATGCGTGCTGAAAGAATGGCCTTGGAAATGTAGGTGGGCGTTACCATATTTCTCTCTCTGTTGTTTCAAGGCTGCCTGGGTGAATTACCGTATTTCCTGTCCTGTGGGCTCCCAAAACCTTTGCGGAAGGAGCGCACTTCGGGAGGCGCATACAGGTGGACTCCGTTTGTCCCCTTCCACCCGTACAGCGGGAATCTACAAGTCGCTTTCCTCTTGCCGCTGGAGGCCTGTCTCCGCACTCCGGGGTCCACTTCCAGCGGCCCAAAGCCACCTGCGCCCGCCGGCCGAGCCCCGCCCAGCTAGGTGGGCAAGGGGGCGGGGCGCGGGGGCGCGGTGACGCGTGACGCCAGATCCCGGAAGTGACGCGCTCCAGGGGCGAAAAGGCGGGGGGAGGGGGGTGGTGTCCCCGGCCGGTTTGGGGGGTGCGTTGCCCGGAGACGGAAAGTTTGGGAGCAGGAGCAGGCTCGGCCGCAGCCCTGGGAAGGGGGTCCAGGGGGCGGTGGCCCTGGGGATGGGGAAGGAGCAGGAGCTGCTGGAGGCGGCCCGCACCGGGCACCTCCCGGCCGTGGAGAAGCTGCTGTCCGGGAAGCGGCTTTCCTCGGGCTTCGGGGGTGGCGGCGGCGGCGGCTCCTCCGGGAGCAGCGGCGGCGGCGGCGGCGGCGGCGGCGGCGGCCTCGGGTCCTCTAGCCATCCCCTCTCCAGTCTGCTCAGGTGAGGAACGCGCCGGGGCCGGACAGCCGCCTGCGGATCCCCTCTCCCCCGCCTGTGCCCTGGGTCTCGAGAGCGGTCCGCGCTCCGGAGAGCCGTTCGGGTGGGTTTGCGGGGCCCGCCGGGCCGAGGGGCGCCCGTGCAGGTTCGCGCGGCGCCGGGCTGCCGTCTGGCGTCCCGCCTCGGCTGTGGAGAATGGTGGGAGTGCCCAGGCGGCAGCCTCCGCCGCCGCATGGCACCGCCTGGCTTCACCTCGCCCGCCGTCGGGCCAGCTGTCGCGTCTCACAGGGCACTTCAGGGCAAAGCAATATTCATTTTAAGTCTCCCTCACCTCGTGCAGAAACTGCCACGCCTCGCAGAATCTCGCCGCTCCCCTGGAGGGGATTCTCATGATTTCCTAATTTTGGGAACTTGGACTCTTCCACCACGCCCCACGGGACCTGGCTTTTGTTGTTTATGTTAAAAATTGTGTCTGGATTTACCACGTCCCGAGTGTGATTTTAGCCCCTCTTGTGCTTGGAGCTTAGATTCTAGTGCGTTGTAATGAACCTCATTGGATTAGTCTGCGAAGTGGCGTCTGCAGGATTCATCAAGGGGTTTATTCGTCAAGAAACAGAGCTTTAGAAAGAGTGATTTCGGAAACCGAGGGGTGCTTTAAACTTTTCTGAGGTTTGTTGTTGAACACTTGAATCTGGGCTATCTGGATTCAGAGAAGAAGGTCACGTTTGCCTGGATTGGAGGGGGGAGTTGGAGGTGCTTTGTCAGTGTGAGTAAAATGTGTTGGTCAGCAGCACTTTCATTGCCTGTTTTCTTTTCCTTCCTTGTTCTTTTGAGGTTTTCAAGAAGTGGAAGTTCATTTAGAAATGGCTTCGTTGGCTTTTGTTCCCTATTAGTTTACGTAACTTCAGTTCGAGTGAGCTTGGACCAAAGCAGCCTCAGGAGGTAATAAATGTTAGGTATTAAGCACTAAGTACAAACCCAGGTCTACACAGGAAGGTTTTTAAGTAGCCGTGTAAGGGGCATCTGGGTGGCTCAAATGGTTGGATGTCTGCCTTTGGCTCAGGTCAAGATCCAGGGATCCAGTCCCACCTTGTTGTGCTCCCTGCTCTGCCCACTCATGCTCGCGCTCTCTCGCTCTCTCGCGCTCTCTCTGAAATAAATAGTCTTTAAAAAAAAATAAGTGAATAAAAAGCAGTGTAAGAGAAGAACTCTCCCCAGGAGTTCTTTCATGGAAGCTAAAACCAGTGCTATTTGCCAGTTTCTCTAGCCCCTAGAACAGTGTTGCCACACACTTGGTACTCAGGATTCATTGAATAAATAGAAGTATCAATTAAAGGATGACAGATTTCTAAATAGACTCATGCTGGTACTGGCAGTAATTGTTAGTAGTTCAGAGAAATGAGATATAACTTTGGGAGTGAGGTGGAGATCAGAGCTTCCAGGAGAAGTACTTCAGCTGGCTTTGAGGGATGTGAGGATTTAGTTTAGGTGAAGTTACAGTGAGAGCGTTCCAGGCTGGCAAGCCATGATCAGAGGCACAGAAGCAGGAAAGGAAACTTATCTGGTGCTAGTGGGGCACTAGAAGAACTTCCTGCTGGAGCCTCGAGTGGTTGGGCATGATAAAGGGTGATAGTAATGAATGGTTACACTTCCATCTTTTAGAGTGACTTAGTCTTTCTGGTGTTTATAGTCCCAATCCCTAGATCAGTCCCTGACAACTCATGGGTGTTCAGTAGATGTACTTTGAACACATGCATTGGGTTTGGAATCTTTCCTGGATTACTTTGATATTTCTGCACTTCTGATGTCCGAGAGATGAGAGAAAGACTATACAAGTTTGGAGGTGCCTATCTCTAATTAGATGAATAATGTAGCTTTTGGAAGTTTGCCAGAGATACCTTAACCCTTAATATATCCTGCTGAAGTGAGAAACTTCCACATATCTCCCACCTTCAAGGATGGGTCAGATTACTCTTACTGGCGACATTCAGAGACTTGAAATTTTGCTGAAGATTTAGCTGCCCTGTGGTTAATCAAGACTGGGAAATCTTTGTTGACTACAGTGTTTTTACTTTTGGCCTCATGCTAATATATCCAGTCTCTGTCATAAAGTGTAGATGGTGTCTCCATTTCCATGCATAAGAGAGTTGACTCCTGACTTGCTCTTGTATCTCTTGTAGAGATGGCCTCAGAGCTGCCTTAGCCTCTCATCCCTGTGATTCCAATGGGCAGGGGAGGATCTGCAGGCGCTAGTTACCCTAGGTGTGTCATTAATTAGAGATGATTCTGGTTCAACCTAGTGAAAGATTTCTGAGCAAATGACACTCTGTATTTAAATAGTCCCCAGGTCAGCATGTCCTTCCTTTTTAGGTTTGGAAATAGTAGAGGGTAGGTTCCCTGTGCCCACACTCCCCACCTCTAAGGACCTCACAAAAGCTGTGGAATCATAGCTTGAGATCTGGCCTTTGCATTAGCTGTCATGTCTTACCCTCACTAGTGCAGCTAACTGCAACCTGTGTTTGTCCAGCTGTTTGAGTGACCAAGTAAGGCTGGCAGGAATGGGAGCTTACAGCTGTAGTGGATATAAATGTTCTAAACCACATGTGTGTTTTTCTGTTCATCCACCCCAGTTCCACAAAGGTTTTGTGTTTATTCTTAAGCTACAAAATGCTCCCTCTCTCACCCCATTTCTTTACTCTTACACTTCTTGGACTTAGGTCTTAACCCTCCCTAATGGCCCTAATACAGATCTCTCAGGCTTCTACTTCTTTGGAACCTATCATCTCTAGTGTACAGTAGCTTATTGGCTCATACTTTACCTGCCTACCTTTCATAGTTTATTGCTGTGGCCTGTCAGTATAATGTTTGCATATAGTAACCCTCACCAACGGAGAATGTACCTGAGAATCAGATAGTCCGCAAAAACTTCTACTAGGAAAAAAAAAAGTGGTTACAAACTTCATATCTTTCTGCCCTTCACTTATTTACTGCACGTTTATTCAGAGGCAGATAGTATAATGCTCAAGACCACTTGTTTTGCAGTCAGACTGCACGAATTCACAGAGTACTGCCCCTGCTGCCTAGCTGCTTGAGTTTATACAAATTGCTCAGCCACTTGAAGCCTCAATTTCTTTATCTGTAAAATGGGGACATTATTGTGTGCCTTATAGGTATCATCTTGGATACTGTGTGTAAGACATTTCCACAGTTCTGGCACATTGTAAGTGCTTACTGTTAACCATCTTCAGTTCAGCACATACAGTTTTGCTGTACTGCCCCTGCTGTGTGAAAAGTACCCTTCCAGACATATTATAAATTGTGTTCTTTCACATTTGGGTATGTGTTTTCTGGACTATGGCAGATTAGAAACAGTAAATAAAGAAGAGGGCCTGCTTAGGTAGGCACATCAGTGCTGTTCATTTATCCAGTGTTTATCCATCATCTACTTTGTGCTAGGCTGATTGCTAGATGCACTGCAAAGTTTAGCTCAGACCTGGCGCATAGTAGGAACTTTATGAAAATTACCCCCTCTCTTGATACGTGGTCTGTTTCCTTACAGCATTTATAGCAGTATGTCTGTGTGACAGATCGACAAAATAAGAGACAGAGAAAGCAATTAAAATCTATCATAATTTTTCCCACCTCAGTAATTTGAGATTATTAACATAGATGAGCATATCTTATACACTTGCTCAAGCCCCAGGCGTCATTGTATTGTAATTTAGTGCTGTAACTGCTGTTTATTATGGATCTTAGCCATCAAATACAGATTAAATTATGTTCAGTGTAGCATGTTAATGAAACTAGGAGAGACAGATTTTAGTTTTTTTATCCAATTTGATTCAAATAAAAATTTTATTACTTAAAAGGACAAGCAATAGATTATTTAGAAAGCATAGTTATCTAAAATGTCTAGTCCTAGAAAGGCTCTGGATGGCATGGATTTTGCTTTGTATAATATTACCTCATTTTCTGATTGTTCAACAGATGCATGCCTTTAGTTGGTACCCTGAGACAGACACTTTGTTAAACTTCTTTTTAACTCATGGTATTTTTCAGCCCTGGGTACAAATTTTTGTGTAATGCAGAGTTTGATATGTTGATGGTCATACTGAGACTACTGATTTCCAGGAAAGCAAATTTTAAATGAGAAGGCAGTAAGATTTGAGTTAGAAGTGAATTCTATCAACTAAAGGGCCAAAAGACCTGAAAAAAGGAAATGTTACAGGAAAACATCATGTATTACCTTAAAACTATATTGAATTATGAACTAAATACTGATATATATGAACAATGTAAAGTGAAATGCATTCCCAAGGGTTCAGAAGCTTAGAGAAACAAAACCAAAGGCTAGGATTGAGGAGTAGATTGTGTCATGGTTTAGGAGAATTCTATACTTAATTTCTCAAGCATGAGAAGGGCGAACCAGAAAAGAAGCCAAGGAGACTTAGTGGAGAAATTGGAAAATTTATAGACAGTAGCAATAAACGTGGCTATAAATTTTAGTTTTTGCTCTACCATTTGGTGTGTATGGGGGGAGACTATCCAGAAATAGTCACAAGTTTGCCAAAAATATGAAATATTTTTTGAAATAAGGAATGAAGAATGAAAACTTTTGAAAAATGGACCCCACTTTGGGAACCATAAAAAGTTCTTCCAATATCAGAATATATGACAACTTATTCGTTGTTTTTAAGAAAGATTCCTAATGTTTATGTCAGAAATTCAGACTTAAAAAAAAAGAAAGAATGGTTAGCATAACCATTCCATTACAGTGGTCCTTCAATCATCGCCTCGAATGGATGTGTTGCTTGGAAATGATAATGACATGACAGGTTTTCTCATGCTGGCCCTGCTACTTTTGCCCTTCTCTGGTGCCAGATTTCTTTTGAATATGCCTAGGTTGAGCAAAAATGATTTTAACATCCTAAGGAGTAGGACAGTGCTGACCAAGAATTGTAGAATGTGAAGTCCTGAAGGAGAATCTCATGGGCTTGTGTGAT